GTCTGGTCCTGCTGCTTTCCTGGTGTTCACTCTCTTGAAGGCTCTCCTCACATCATGCTCGGAGATGACGAGCACGTTTCCGGTGCTGCCAGTATCACTCCTGCCAGCAACTGTTACACTGCTGCTGACTCACAGTTGGCAAGGAACACAGAAATGAAGAATTGCTTCAGCCTGTTGTGAGCATATCTAATCTGGCTTTTCAAGTGGGGAATAGTCTGATATACTGTCCATATATCAGATCAGTTCATTCCTAACTTGGCATATTAACAAGTTTAACCATAAGATTAGAAAAAAAATTATATCAAAATTGCTCTACATTGAGAGCAAATTGTAGAGTGATTGTCTCCCCTTCCAGGTTGTCTCCTTAGGCACCTCTGGACCGTTTCCAGAGTAGTTTCTGTTTTTAGTACGCGTCCTAGGACTCCAAATCTGATTACTTGCACCACTTCACCATGGATGACCAAGGTCTGAGTCAGTTCATCGAGTTAAGAATGCAACAAAGAGCTTACGGCATGAATTTGTCTCTAACTATAAACTATAAACATACAGCTCTGCTGTAGCCTGTAGCATAAAGGGGTGTCTGAGGAAGAACATTAAACTCAAACCACCTAAACTGTGACACGGGCTGTAGTAGCAAAAGCGCTGGAAGTAGTGGAGTGCTGCCATGAGGAGACTACTTATAAGGGGAGCGCAGACAAATTGACTTTAAGTCAGAAAATATGTATTTTTTTTTAATTTGTTTATTTTAGAAGTGAAACTTTCTGGCTTCATGTTGTGTTGAGTTGTGTGACTGCACAGCAAATTCATGAGATTCCAGCTGCTTTGTGCAAATAAACCTTTAGACCCTTGGTGTTTGCGAGTCTTGTGACTCTAGGAAACTACTATACCTAATCACCTATTTTTTTCTAATTATAAAATTATCATTTGTAGTCTTTATTTTTAATGTATTATTTATTTCTGCAGTATAGAGTTTCCATTGCTATGGAGTCTTCTTTTTATCTACCACACTAGGAGATCAGCAGCCACCAAGAGCAGTTCATTCAGATGTTAAATGAACCCGTCCCAGAGCCAGTGCCAGGAGGTGGCAGCAGTGGAGGAGGAGGAGGAGGAGTAGGAGGAGGTGGCGGCGGCGGCGGCGGCGGAAATCAAATGAACTATATCCAGGTCACACCACAGGAGAAGGAGGCCATTGAGAGGGTGAGGAGAACGACACATGGATGACACATGACACATTTTCCATAATTGCAAAGCTCAAGGCTCCTTTACCAAACATGGTGGACTATCTATGTGAACCAGTTTCCCTTACATGTCACATTTGTGCAACATTTACTCAACAAAATGTCAAATGAAGGGATATTACTGACTGGGGAGTATGTATTAACGTATTGATTGACTAACTTTAAGCTATGACTCTCTGATTCCAGCTAAAAGCCTTAGGATTTCCAGAGGGACTTGTTATACAAGCCTACTTTGCTTGTGAGAAGAATGAGAACTTGGCTGCCAACTTCCTTTTACAACAGAACTTTGATGAGGATTAAACAAGCCATCTTCATACCACTTTCTCTATGTTTTGATTGCAGATTTTTTTGATAAATGTGCACAATAAGCCTTTTAGTTTCCAAAAAAACTATTTTATTCACCACTTCCACGTTCTACTTTCTTTGTAACACTGGATCTTTATCAGCTGGTGGCTGCTGTACGAGGGGAGGATTTTGTTTGTTATTGGTTAAAAATGAAGTAAAAATTAAATTACAATAATTTTGCATCAGAAATAATCTGTTTATTATTTGTTATACTTAAGACCAGTATGTTTTATGTTAAGTTTTTTTTCTGTTATGTGAGATGAGTTCTGGGTTCATCTGAAAGGTTCTGACAGTATTCATGCACTCTTATTTGATTTTTGGAGTTGACTTAAAATGGAGATTTGAAAAATTAAAGTGTTCAACACAAGCAACGTGGAGTTTTGTTTGTATTTATTTATTTTATTCATCTTTGTTTTTCAGCATGAAAAAAAACACCACGATTAACTGCTTATCTGAGTTAGTGTTGTGTTTCGGAGGTGGATCTGGAGCCTGTCCGAGTAGGGTACACTAAACTGGTGAATCTGCAATACGCATAGATGGATAGATATGCATGCATTTTAACATGTGTGGTGCTATGGAGAAGTATTAGCCTTCTTCCTGATTTATTTTTTTTATTTTTTTATTTTCAAATAATCAAACAAATGTAATATTAGAGGTAACTTGAATAAATACAAAATCCAGTTTTTCATTTATTAATGTGAAAATGTTAATGTTCCCGAACTTGCCAGGCCTGGTGTAGGAAAACGCCTGAAAACCAGTTGTACCACATTTGGAGGAGATGATTTTTCAGAGCACTGTATAAAGAGGGTCAAAGCTTTGGGAGAAGTAATACAGTGCTTTTTTGCTGTTAATAAATGTGTATACTCACTTTTACATCTATAAGTAAAAAATAAATAAACACACACATACACAAGAAATCCACAATCCGTTTGACACTTTAGTCATTAAAATGCTGAATTAAAAGACATTGAAAATTAGCATATTCTTTCTGTAGCAACAAGCACTACAAATGACACCTGCAATTATAGCCGTCTGGTTTACGAAGTGTAATTCTTAATTAAAAGGGAGATTCTGAAGGGATCGTGCTGTGCTTGAACCAAATAAACCTATAGGGGGCAACATAGACCACAATATATTTCCAACTTCCAAGCCTGAAGATGTGTGACTGGGGGCTACCACTCACAACAAATGGAAAGCAATGCTACCTGCATGGTCCACATCCTTCTTTTCCCCTTGTCATCCCTGTGCTGTGGTACTTAAGTCTCTAAAGAATGCTATAATGTCCTAACTATAGGATGCTTTTTCCCTGTAATCAGTATGTGATGTTTTGAATCATCTTATAAATTCATATTGTTAAAAAATTATAATAAAAATTTTGTATTATTCAAAGGCTGTACACTCTCAAAGAGCAGTAAACCTCAGAGACACAGCAGCATCACTCAGGCGATCACGTAATCCTCAAAGAAAACAAATCCAATGGAGGCCACAGTACAAATTCACTCAGGATTTAATTGAAGGTGAGTCTCTATGGGTTTTTGTTATTATCGTTGCTTCACCACAACATCTGATCTCAGGCTTCACCCACCTGCCAAGTGCCACTTTAATAAATGTAACTATACAGCAAATGTGTCAACATCTAAATACACAAGTAAATACTCATACATGGGTTCTTATGTTTTTACCCTTTTCTTTCTTATCAGGATGTAAATTACTTTTTTCTTTCTTGATAAATTTAATAAAATTCTTTGCAAGGTGCTATAATGTCATCACGCTACAAATCCAAATACTTAGTGATAAATAACACAGCTGTTGCAAACCCAGTGTTAGATACAGTGGTAGATTTATTACATTTTGACGTCCCCTGTCAAAATGAAGGGCTATTTAAATATCTAAAAATGATCACCATCTGTATTTTAAACTTATTTGACATACATAAAAATAAGTACGGTTATTATAGTCCAAATCTCTACGAGGTCACACTGTGAGGCCTGCACAGTATAGGTATAGAGCCTTAACGGCTCAGCAACATCACCTTTCTACTGAGCTCTTTTCAGTGCTGTAAGTCTCAGGTCATCTATCTCACCGCAGCATATCTGAGTGCTTGTACTCCTATTGTGCACATCGGTGTCAGATTTGGTGTCACCCTTGAACGTCAGCCACCAACTCACTTGTCCTCCCAATTCATCCGCCTGACAGGTGGAAAGAGAACTCCATGGAAGTGCGACATTGTAGGAGTGAATTTTCTTTTGAAAACCTTTTTTAACGGCAACATTGTGTTAGGTCGCCTGGAGTGATCTCACCATTACCACAGAGGTCAGTGCGGTAATCTTCAACCTACTGTAAAACTTTTTTTTTATAGGACTAATGTCTTTCATCCTGCCAACTGTTCATGTCTTTAGATATCAAAGGTTGTCAATGAAATGGCATAAAGGTCATAAAGATTTTTCTTCTTATACCAAATACATTTTATTATAATGTAAAATACAAAACAATAACAAAGAATTATTATTTACAAATGTACAAAGTTCAAGATTATATTACATATTTTGGCTATAAACAAACAAAGATTTGTTCAGAGTTATTCATTCAATACAAAAATACAAGCGTCTCATATAAATTATTGCACTTTGCAGCTGCAGTGCATTGAAGATTGCCATCACCTTTAAAAAAAATGAAGTGTTTACCTGATTTAAGTCAGATTGCGGAAGAGAGGTTTCCAAGAAACACAAAAACCATATGGCACTTTTTCATTTCACCCTTTTTGTATAATCTTTGGTACCTTTTATTACAAAAAAACCCTTCAGAGTCACTGAGCACCATTCTGTATAAATTAACATTGTACCTGAAATCAATGGCATTGCAGGTGAAATGTGTATATAAATATATATGTATTTAATTGTACAGTGTGTCGTTTACAGGGCCTATGAAGACATGTTGCTGGTAGAAGGCCTCTGGAGATGTTTTTTCTGTTGCTCCTGGTTTCCCTGACAAAAATACACTTCCAGTTTGAAAAAACCCCCAAAAAAACAGTTGGCACCTGGTCCTCCAAGTTTTGTCGGTTAAATAACACAAATTCCAGTTTGGTCCCTTTCATAAAAAAGTTTACAACCCTGGCTGAGAGGTCTTGTCGAGTCACCTGCACAACGTGCGAGCACGGGATCAGTCTTGAGAGAAATTCTTGGCTCTTAAAGATCCAGCGCTCTTTCATTTTTGTTTCTTGCCATGAACACCACAGCTTGTCTTGTTGCTTGACGCCAGTTTGAAGGCAAATCGTGGTTTAAAAGAAGAAAAAAAACTGTAGGTCACAGGTTTGTTCAGGGTTCTGCTAACGTACATATATGTCCCCTTCCCCGCCCACTGGAGCCTTCATCCACCGACCATCCAAGTCTCATAAGTGTCTCTTCATGTGGAGAGCTAGGTGATCTGACCTTGAAAACGCCCGGTCGCATTTCTGGCACTGGAACGGCCGGTGGCCTGTGTGTTTCCTGTAGTGGCGGGTGAGCTCATCCGAACGCGCAAACTTCCAGCCACAGCCCTCCCAGTCGCAGTGGTAAGGCTTCTCCCCTTTGATGGAAACACAATACACACAGAGCGGTTAGCACTGGCCCTGAGGTTAAAAATGGCCCAGCCTTCCCCACATTCAGGAGAAAAAGAGGTCCATCCTGTCCTGCAGCTAGTGTGTAAAGGCCAAACCATCCGGCCTGGGGTTTGTATTTGAAAAGGGATCAGTATCAACCTGTTTTACTGCACCTGCTAAACAAGTCCCCCTCCCAGCCCCCACCCTTCCAGCCCCTATTCAAACATGTTTGTCCATAATGAGCAAGTGATGTTCAACAAGGAAACTATCACGAAAATAAGAGAATAAGCTTAATGAGAGCGTGCTAAGGCTAAAAGCTAACACTAGTGTAAGCGGACGCCAGAAGCGTCAAACACCCATCTGCATACCTGTGTGTGTGCGGTGGTGCGCTTTAAGGTGCGAGCTCTTTGTGTATGTCTTCCCGCAGCCGACAAAGTCACACGTGTGTGTCGCCACTCTCTTCCTCGGCCAGGACCGTCGACCACGTTTAGGCTTTGGCTCCTCCGGCATGCAGTCACCAGTAGATATCATGAGGGGTTCTGTGGAGTCAAAAAACAGATGTGACAATAACTGTTATCATGGTCCCTAATCATACTCCACATGAGCAGAGAAAACTTATAACTATATCAGAGGTCACTGAACAGTGGGGTAGGCTTATAGCCGATATAACAGAGGCATAAAAATTCAATATTTGTTTAAAAAGAATGTATCTTCTGTCTCGAACTTTGAAGGGACTCAGAAAACATCAGCCCCTCTTAAATCATATAAAAGGCCTGTGCAAAATAAAGCTGCTATTCTAAAAGCTTTAATACTTCTCTGCAAAACACTGCACAGTGCCACAATTAATTGAAAAAAACCCCACCACAACAGAGAAGTGGTTCGTTTTAATGTTTAAAGTAACAAACAACACAGATTCTATAGAAATTCAAATTCTGTATGCGGGCTAGACTTTTAAAGAGTTTTACGAGGACAAGATCCTTTTAAGTGCAATACTTTGAACCAATGGCTCGTTTAAAACCATTGACTCTGTATAAGTTGTGTTCTTAGACAGATTTTAAGAAAACACAGTTTTAAGAACTCTCTATTATAATAAATGCTCTCTAACCTTGGTACTGCATGGATGATGTCTGGGCGTAGGACGTGTATCCCGGTGGCGAACTATGGTGGTATCCCTGGGGAGGAAGAGGGATCTGAGAGTGGGAATGGCCCAACACCTGGTGTTCCCGGCTCAAGGGGTGGTCCGGGGAGAGGGAAGAGGATGAGGATAACCTGCTGTTTGTCATGGAGCGCCCTCTGCCATGGAACCCAAGATCCAAGTGGCTGGGACGCTGCTGCTGCTGGCTTCCTCGTCCATGGGAGTTTACTCCAGCCAGGTGTAGGTCCATGGGTTGTGAGATGGTGCAATTACTGGGGTTTTCCTGCTTTATCCTGTGGCACGCGAAGGTCGTCGAGGCACGTGAGGGAGTTGGGTCTGACACAGCGTTAACACAGGCCTTGCTAACATTCATGCTTTGGTTGTAATCTCCCATGTCCATTGTTGTCTTGACTACAAACTTCCCATGGAGGCTCGTGGGTTGGAGGTAAGCCGGATCCAGCTCGGGTCTCATGAGCTCGGCCACGAAGCCTCCAGAGGGCGAAACATCGTTGATGTCTGGAATGGTGTAGAGCAGCTCGCTGGCAGTTCCCTGAGGGGAAGGGAGAGGGTAAGATGAGGTGAAAGACCCAGGGGAAGGAGACAGTCCCTGGGCAGAGGTGCATGCCATGGCATCCTCCTGCTGTTGCTGCTGCTGTTGT